AGGGAAAACTTTTATGTAATCATGTGGTGTGTTTCTATGATGTTTTTTTGATGAATTGAAGCCTTTAATTTTCAAGAATTACAATTTGTGATTAATTTTTAATATCTGTACTGAACTTGAAAAATCATTTGATTTTATAAGTTATCTTTATGATTGACTAGTACTAGAGCTATAAGATATACATTGAACATAAATTAAACAACTAAATTATGACACATAAAACGTTCTTCAACTTGATATTCATATCAAGCTCAACATATCCTATCCTTTTGACCAACATTTCCGATGGACACTGTTATGTAAAATGAGTAATCAATCATGCAAACTCCTTTTAAAAAAGAAAATAAGGGGTCATGTAGTGTGAAGCACCATTGTCTAATGCCTATTCTCATCCTTGTGAAGAACCAAGATAAAAGATTGAGTTCGATGAGATTTATTCATCGTTGGAGACATGATTCTTCCCTCAACTTCTTCATCATGGGATTGACCCACTCTGATGCATTGATAGAATTTGTATATGAAATATGTGTATATTAATTTTATTTATTGATTACAAAAGTACATGGTGCCTCTAATATATAGGCAACCAACAAATACAAGCTGGTAAAATAACAAACTAAAATTGCATATTAGATTTTATCTTTTATGCAAAAATAAAAGTTCAAATACATTATCACAAAGTTTATCTTTTTTACTTATTGTGCCAACAAACTTCTTATCTCTTATTTTGTCAACAAACTTTTTGTTGTTGCAACACTATTATAATTAACACTCATCATTTTAATTTAAATATTCTAACATCATGTCATCCAAAATACAATGTTGTAAGGTTTGTCTTGAGACATAAATGTTGATTTAGTGTTTCTAGGATCGATTCTCATCCATGTTAAAATAATGTTTAATCTCTTTTAGGGATATTCTTACCATGTCCACCTAAACCCAAAAAATCTCACTATTTAAATTTAATAAAAACATTAATATATGACTTAAATATATTTTTAGTCCTAACAAAATTAGTTTATTTTGATTTTAGTCCCTATAAATTTTTTCACTTGTTTTTTTATCTCTCTAAAATTGAATATTATTTTTAATCCTTATTTTTTTTTTATAAAATCATATTTAACTACTTTTTGTTTATTAAGATTAAATGATCATCTTAAATGTTACTATAACTGTTAATGATGTCACAAGTGTTATAAAGAGATCAAAATATTTTTTTTACAAAGATGAAAACTAAAATTTATATATTTTGCATGCACAAAAAATAATGCTTATAATTTTTTTAAAAAAATAAATAAAATAAAAGAATTTTTTTTATACAAATACTAAAACCAAAAGTCTTCCATTTTTCTAAAACTAATGATGTTTTTAAAAAGAAAACAAAATAGTATTATTTGCATATTGCGTACATGAGACGGACACGTATTATTATTAGTAATATATTCGGGGGCAAAAAAGGAAAACGACAGGCTGTATAGCGGATAATGCATATGCACGAGTGCATGCGTCGCTGAAAGGAAATTTGAAGAGTACACTCCCCAAGTTATAGAAAGCCATCTCATTAAGAAAGGACACGTGTTCAAATTCCATTCGCCATCAACTACTTTAAAGTGCTCCAAATCCAACGTTTCCCACTCAATCCATTCCCCATCACTCCCCCGTTGACTTCCCCATGCCTCGCTACTCCTTCCTCGCTCTCCTTCTCCTCGCCGCCGTGGCAGCCGCCGAGGCCCCCGACGCCGACGAAATTCTGATCCGTCAGGTGGTGCCGGACGCCGAGGCCGAGGAGGATCACGTGCTGAACGCGGAGCATCGCTTCTCCACCTTCAAGGCCAAGTTCGGGAAGAGCTACGCGACGAAGGAGGAGCACGACCATCGCTTCGGCGTCTTCAAGTCGAACCTTCGCAGAGCGAGGCTTCACGCGAAACTCGACCCCTCCGCCGTCCACGGCGTCACGAAATTCTCCGATCTTACTCCGGCGGAGTTCCGGCGGCAGTTCCTCGGCCTCAAGCCTCTCCGCTTCCCGCCGCATGCTCAGAAGGCGCCTATCCTCCCTACCAAGGATCTCCCCAAGGATTTCGATTGGCGTGACAAAGGTGCCGTCACCAAAGTCAAGGACCAGGTAATGTTAATTATAATTTGTGGATAATTTGACGTGAAATTGAAGTTTTGGTGTGTGTTTTTGTTTAGGGTTCGTGTGGTTCGTGTTGGTCTTTCAGTACTACGGGAGCGTTGGAAGGTGCTCATTATCTTGCCACTGGCGAGCTCGTTAGTCTTAGCGAGCAACAGCTTATGGACTGTGATCACGTGGTTAGTTTCTCTCACGTTTTTAAGCTTATCTAGAAAAACTCAAATTCCGTTGATCATTAAAAAAAAAGTTACTTATTATTTATTTATATATAATTTGTTTTTTAATAAAGATATAAAAGATTATTAGAATGATTACAATGAAAATTAAACCTAACTATCTCAACTCTTTTCCGCGCAACTAGTTAAACTAATTGCAGTGATTTTATATACAAAATTTAATAATGTAAAATATAAGAAAGTATTAAAAAATTATTTTTAATTAAAAATAAGATAATTCAAAAATATAAAATAATTCTTATCTTATGAATTAATTTTGTGGAGAGTTGAGGCAGTTTATTATGGTTAAGAAGTCCTTTTTGGCATTTGAACTTGGCTTTTGTATCAGTACTCATAAACTGGCGGCAGGTGAAAGGTTGGAAAATTGTATTTTAAGTTGATAGTAACATTCAAGTATGAAAACTTTTATCCATTACAAAAGCTACTTAAATTGCTTTTCAAGTCAAAATCAATTTTGATTTCACAATATCAACTTCTCAACGTTGGATTAAACAAGCATCGCTTTTAGTAAATAATTGCTTTGGTTTGATTACGTGTTTTTTTTTTTTTTTTTTTTTTTTTTTTTTTTTTTTTTATGGTTCGTCTCATAAGTTATTCGATCACAGAAAGATAATCTGAATACATAATAATACAACGAAGACATTATGTAGCCGACCGTAAGTTAACACACTTCAAAACAATGTCGTATCCATGCTAGAACTGTTAGTGAAATCGACATTCTAGACCTATTAATTTCATTGTAAATTTTTTTTTCTCAACTGTTATGTTAATATTAATACAAAAGAGAATCCCATAATAATTACATAAGTAATGGTATCTGATATCGATGATTATGATGTGTTATAAATTTTCGGACATCGAATTTCTTTTCTAAATTACAATTTTTATTTTCTTGTTGATTAGTATTTTAGATTGTATAATGTACAGGAAAAATGTTTGTTATATATAATTAAAAATTCTAATAATTATATATACAAATAAATTTAATAATTAAATATATAAATTATATTTAAATTTTATATAAATAAACATTTTCAGCATACA